TAAGGCGAAAGAGGGCGAGGGGAGGGCGAGGGGAGGAGGGGCGGGGACTACACGCTGCACCCCTCGGTGGGGTAGGCCTAGGCTGGCGGCCAGGCCGGCGGGCGGGCACGCTGGAGGGCAGGCAGGGCAGACGCAGCCACGCGTGTTGCATCCCTCCTATCCCTCCCCGACCTGTAGGGCCCCGCGGCCTCGCCGCTCACCGCTCTCGTCAGCCCGCCATGGCACGCTAGCGCTGCCGTCACACCGTCCCAGGAGCGTCATTTCTGACAGTGTGCTTTGTCGCTCTGTCTGTCTCTCTCCCACTCGTGGCGTGCGCCGCAAGGGTGGGAGAGAGACAGCGTCGAGACACTGTGCGGAATGGCTCCGTGGCGCTCATTCTCCAGCGGCAAGCTCCAGCGGTTCCAGGCTCCTGCAGTGAGAGAGAGGCGAGAGGCACCGCTCCAGCCGCGCCTCGCCGCAGCGCCAGCCCAGCCTGCGGCCCAGCGGGTCGCACCGCCGGCCTAGAACCTCGCAAACCAAGCCAAGCTGCGCGCCAGCGCGCCAGCAAGCAGCGAGCCAGCACGCGGCGGGGCGTGGCGGGGCGCGGCGGGGGGCGGCGGGGTCCGCCGTGCACCGTCTGGCTGCCGTGACGAGGCAGCGAGGCGGCCCCGCGCGGCAACAGCGCACAGCGGCCTGGCGGGGCGCTAGTGCTGGGGGCCCCACGGCCCCACAGAGAGAGTGCCAGCGACTACCGGCGACTACGTGCGGGGCGGAGCGTAGCATAGCCTGTCACGTCTAACGGCCGTGACCGGGCCATTTTAGATCACCCGACTGTCCTCTGATCCCACCTCGAGGACGGCGATGGAGCGCCAGACCGCCATTTTGAAAAGTTTACGACTGCACGTCTAATAAAAAGTATCACAATGACAGCACTACAGATTCAAAATTTATCGCCTGTCCTGTTCCCGACGCCACGTCGCAGCGGAGGCTTTGAGTCTTCTCAAGTGTACTGTGTGGAAAAGCCCTCCTGCCCCCGCCTCGGTGCGTCTCACAAGGCCTACACCCTTCACATGCACTCGGCGCTCCACAGGTGTCTAGCCCGGTGCAGCCCTGCATCGCCCTGCACCAGATGCCCCCCCCCCTTTCCCTTTTCGTCCGGGCAGGAACGCCCTACGCCCCACGCCCGCGGCGCTGCCGTCAAAATCGCCCCCGAGGCGCAGCGGGCGCGGCGTCCTCGTCCTTGCCAGTCCTTGCCAGCGCGTTCGCGTTTCTCATTAGCCGCCGCGAGCCCCGCCCCCGCCCCGCCCGCCCCGCGTCCTCGCCTCCCCGTCCGGCCGCCACGGAGCACGGAGTGGCACGGAGCAGAGCAAACGGCACCGCGAGCGGAGCGGCAGCGTCGCGGCCCGAGCCGAGCCGAGAGCCGAGCCGAGCGCAGCCGAGCCGCGCGCGGAGCCGAGCCGAGCCGCTGCAAGTGGAGCGTGGACTCCACGGCGTGGAGCGCGAGGCGGGCGGCCGGCGGCTTGGCGCGGCGTGGCGCGGCGTGGCGCGAGGCGGAGGTAGGCCACCCGCACGCACGGCTGTGCCGCGGACGTGCCTGCCGTCCAGGGGCGCCGCGCCCCGGGCCCGCCGCCGGCCGAGGGTGGAGCGCCGCGGCCGGGCCGCGAGTGCGCGCGCCGCCGGGTGGAGGAGGAGGGAAAAGTTTCCCGAACTTCCAACTTCAAGTCAATATCGGTTCCTGATGATTGGTCGTCGCATCCGACGGCGGACGGCGGCCACATACGAAAAACGGGTTGACTCTCTTTCCTGTCTCCCCGACAGGAGACTGATTCCGAGAGTCTTCGTCCGTCTCTGGCACCTACATGGGACGCCCCGTCAGTGCGAGAGAGGCAGAGCGACGAGAAGGGCCTCTCGGAATCAGGCTGCAGTAACGCCTTGCCCATACATGCACGAATGTTCCACCACGGCCGCCACGGGCCACGAGCATGACGACGGCCTTTAGTCACGTGACGAAAGGCGGCCGTTTTACTGCGGGCCATATGGGCTCATTTCGTGTGAGCCCAGCGACTCTACGGCGTACCCAGCACACTGCTGCCGAGGGCCGTCGTTTTCGTCGCTCTGTCTCTCTCGCACTCATGGGGCGTCCCGCTTAGGTGCGAGAGAGACAGAGCGACAGAACGGCGGATCAGTCTACAGCGTGGAGCCATGCGTGATGGGTGAGTGGGTGGGATTACAGCATGCAGCACCCTGCTTTGTGCTGCGAGGGCTCGCGAGGGTTGCATCGGTGCATGTTGCGCGCCCTCGCGATAATCGATGGAGGCCAGACGATGCTCAGTTCGCGGGGAAGGGTGAACCAGGGTGAACAAACGCCAGCCGAGGGGAGAGACTAAGCCTCATCAACGTCGTTTATTATCACGAGCGGCAAGGGAAGGGCTCGGGGAAAGGAAGGGAGAGAGGCTGCCGAGAGAAGGGGGAAACCAAACAGGAGCACCTCTAAATTAATTTTCTCTCTGAGTGGACAGCACTGCTAACTTTTGCAAGAGTTTCCTCACTATTTGATCAAAGAATTATAACTTGATCGCCTTATTGCTGAAGAAACGCCGACGCTCCCCGTCAGGTATCAAAGTCTTTTCGATTGATAGGATTTTATGATGATTAGTTTTGTAAGGAAGGATTACGACTCGATCAAACTGAGAAGAGCTCGAAGTCTCGGCGCGGTCGAGGGCCGCTGCCGTCGCCTTGGCCACCGAGTCCTGTGGTCAAACCCTCCTCTCCTCGGGGTATATAGGCATTTGCAGCGAGGATCGGGAACTTTCGAAAAGTTTCCTCAGGTCGAATTCTACGCGGAGTGAGGGGACCACGACGCTGGTGTGGCGCTAGAATGCATTTCTAGCATGCAGCTCGCGAAACTACTCCATCTCATCGGCTGACTCGGCACGCCGGGCTGGCTGGCGGTGCTGGCGGCCTCGCCCCGCGCCTCAAACGCGCCTCAAACGCGCCTCCATTCACGCCGCTGGATGGCTGGATTCGGATTACATCCCGTGCCGAGAGAATTCCGTGTGCGCCAGCGCGCCTCACGCCTCTCCGCCGAGTGCCGTTGCGCACGGTGTGGAGACACGGTGTGGAGAAGCAAAGCCGGAGCGAAGCTGCCGCGCCAGGACCGGCAGAACCACCAGGACCACAACCGCTGGCTGCACGCCTGCAGACTCATTCCGAGAGTCGTTTTCGTCGCTCTGTTTCTCTCGCACCTGTACGGGACGCATCATGGCCGCGAGAGTGACAGGGCGACGAAAACGATTCTCGGAATCAGACATCAGACTACGGGCCCGCCCAGCACCCAGTCCTCGGTGCTTAGGCTGGCTTAGGCCGTGCCGCTCCAACCTCCAAGGCCCGCTTGGCCGAGGTTCACAACGCCAACCCCGCGCCCTAGCTAGCGGGCAGCTAGCGGGAGCCACCCCGCCGCCGAGGACCGCCCCCCGTCGGCAAAATCAAGAAGGAATTCGCCGCCGCGTGGCTGCCTGGGCTGGGCTGGCCTGAGGCCTCGCCCGCGGCCGCGGGGCACGCCGCCGTCGACGGGAATCGAGGATCAAAGGTGACGGCGTGGGGTGGGGCCAATAGCAGGGCCCGCCGCGGCGCCTACACTGGGGCCCACCGCGGAGCGTACCTACAGAGGGGCCTACATGCCGCGCCTCCATCGGCCCGGCTCCGACCGAGGCCCCCACGCTCTAGTTCCGGTTACCGTAGCTCTGCTACACAATAAAAGCGTGAGGCCGCGCGGGCCTGGTCGGGTCGAGGCGCTCTCTTGCCCGGACAAGCATTCCTCAATCCTTGTCGTCGTCGTCGCCCCTCTTTCCTGCCGAGCGATCTCGCGCAGCGGAGCCCTCGCTCTGTCTCTCTCGCACCCATGCGGCGTCCCGTGGGATCGCGAGGAGGACAGAGCGAGGACACCGTTCGGCCCCGGAATCAGCTCGCGTTTTTGCGGCCGGGCTGGTCTTGGCAGGGCGAGGGCGCCGATATCGGTTGCCAGGTCATGTTCGCTCATGTTCCCTCGCAGGCTTCAAAGGTAATTAGGTACTACGTATTGAGAGGCGGCACACACACAACGCAGAGCCACTATTGACCGCGTGTGCCGACACTGCTAGCAGGATTCCGAGAGTCCTTTTTATCGCTCTGTCTCCCTCGCACTCATAGGGCGTCCCGTACAGGCGCGAGAGAGACAGAGCGACGAAAGCGACTCTCGGAGTCGTGAACAGCTCGCAGCCCCTCTCCCAAGTCCTCTCCGCCGACCGAGTCCTCGTCGGGGTGCGTGCGTGGTCCGCGTGCTCGCCCCCGCCTCGGGCCAGGCAGCCAGCAGAGTCGTTTCCGAGAGTCGTTTTCGTCACCCTGTCTCCCTCGCACTCATGGGGCGTCCCCTTCAGGTGCGAGAGAGACAGAGCGACGAAAGCGACTCTCGGAATGAGTCTGCAGGCTGTAGCCCCCACGGCATCGGCGGGGGGCGCCTCGTGTCGCTTGCCCCGAAGACCCCCGACCGGCTGGTCAGCGGCAGCCTCGCTTTGCGACCCACTTGGCCCGCGTACGGCGTGACAGCCCGGCGACACGTCCACGCCGACGCGAGTGCGCGCGAGGGCCACATCAACGCGGCGGTGGTGTTGCCGTTGTTGCGCAATCAAATTCCCTGCCGCGCTCCTCTCGCTGCGACTCTCTAGCTGCGCCCTCTCGAAACGCGCGCGGGTTTGCCAGTGTGTCCGGGCGGCGCGGTGTCGTCAGCGTCATCCCGGGCCCAGCGCGGTGACGTCACGACCGCCTCCAAGAAGACCGAGCCTTCACCCCGCCACGTCATCAAGCAAATCCTCGGCGATTTGGGGCGCGCCGGAGTTGCCACACATTGGGTAGCGTCCCCCCCCCCCCCGGCGGTCTTTTTCTGAGGCTTGATCATCTGCTAGAGGCCCGGAGCTTGATCACGGTGACCACAATGATGATGACATGAACATGACGTGGGGGGAGAAAATTATGTAGTACGTCAGTGAAAATGGAACAAACGACACTTTATTTCACATCACACCCTACACTAGTATGTACACAACACAGCATGAGCCTCCGCGGCGAGTCAATGCGCGGAGCAAAGGGGCCGTGCGGCCAGGAGGTCGATCGCGGCGTGGCGTCGTCGGCGGCGTCGGATTCGCCGCCACTCGGCGTCCAGGTGCCCGACGCTCGCCCCCTGGAGGGCCCACTGGAGGGCGGAGCGGCCACGGCCGAGGCCCTCGCCCTCACCACCCCTCGGACAGCAGGTACTCGCGGACGGCCGAGACGAAGTCGCCCCGCACCACCACCTGGCCGGCCACCTCGTTCACCTGCGTGGTGATGACCAGCTCGTCCGGGTACACGCGCTGCAGCATGGCCCGCAGGTCGCGCTCCAGCTGCCAGACGTCGCCCTGCACGTAGCGCACCACGGTGCGGACGCTCTGGCCGCGGGGCCCGCTCCGCCTCATGTACACGGGCAGCATGTGGTTGGCCGTGCGCTGGATGAAGTAGACCGAGTTGGCGGGGGCTGCAAGGCAAGCAAACAGTTCCCGCTCGAATAATTTCGTTTTCGTTCCTTGTTTCTAGTATTTCCGCCCCTCCTCGGCAGAAGGAGGAAGGAGAAAGATGAAAGAAGGGAGGAGAAAGGAGGAAGGAGCACCGAGCAAGGAGGAAGAAGAAAGGACGAAAGAGGAGGGATGACGAAGGACGGCGAAGGAGGAAGGAGGACAAAGGACGAAGAAGAAAGGAGGATGGAGGAGGAGGGAGGCGGAAGGAGGAAGAAGGAAGGAGACAGAAGAAAGGAGGAGAAATGAGAAGGAAGGAGCAGAAGGAGGATGGAGAAAGGGCGAAGGAGAAAGGAGGACGAAGAGACGTCGTGCTGCAACGCGGAGTCGCCTTGGAGGCGCCTGCGCGGCGGCAACCCGCAACCCGCAGCTCCGCGGCCGAGGCGAGCGTGCTTCGTGCTCCGCTGGAGGGGGGCGGGGGTGGGGCGGGGAGGGACGCGGGCGCGAGAAGCAGCAAGGAAAGGGAGGGGGAGAGTCCTGCGGAGGAAGGGAGGGGAGGGGTGGGGTGGAGCCGTGGAGCACAGGCAAATTCTTTCACTAGGGGAAGTTCCTCTTAATTTCAAGCGTGGCTACGTCTTAATCTTAAATGGTAAACCTACCTTTCTGGGGACGCCATCCTGATGGGTATTCAGGTTTAGGTTTGGGTTCTGGTACAGTGAGTGCCGGTAACAAATTTTGAACAAATTTCCACTCCTCAGGGCTGCGAGAAATTTCAAATCCAGTGTACTGGCTTTCATCCTTGCTGATTAATGGACTTGATTTGAACCTAGCATACCGCACCTGCAAAGTTAAAAAAAATATAAACTTACAGTAGATTTCAGACGCACTACAATTGCTAAGGTTTGGCAGTTATTCACAGAATAGGAACCACGGTATAATTAACAAAAAATCCACTCTCTGCTTTTTATGCCTTCTTCGTTTTGCCCAGAATTGTAAGGAAAATAAAAGTTAGGAAAAGAGCAGTGGGTAAAGTATTCGAAGATTCGACAGTTGACAGGTTAGGAGCGTTAAGCTAAAATGCTGCACAAAATATACAATACTGGAGGTTAATAGGAAGGAAATGATGCCAAAACTATTTTAAAATGGTCGCTATTTAAATGTGTTAGTTGAATCCTTCACATCACGATTTCTACAGTCCATGGCTAAGCATGTGCGAGAGGTTATGTTTTCGGTGTGAGAGGATCCACTGGTGCTATCCATTCATGGCCAAAACTACGAAGCAAATAATTTTTTATTTGTTTAAAAGCAGAAAATATTGCCCCTATCGACAGACATATTCATGTCACATATAAAACATAGTTATTTATCTAAATGCGCTGGGTGGCGGCGTCTGCTAGAGACGGAGAAATGATCGTGGTTCAGAGTGAACGTAGGTTTAGATAAGATTCTCTAGTGTAACAGCTCACCGGCACGGAATGTATCGCTGGAATTATTTTGTTGGTCAAATCAGGCCCCAGTCTAGTGGGAAAACTTCTATTTCCAAGACGAGTGACCAAACTCAATGTTTTCATAGTTGCCATTTTGGTGGTACCGCTGGCTTCCTCACCGCCCCTCTCCACTTGGAAGGCGACGGACGCGTTGTGATTCGTTCGTGCTTTCTGCGATAAAAGATGGTACGAAAGCGCAACATGTAGGACGTTTACGAGGATTTCCTCATTTAATGACGATTTTCGTGTGTCTGTAGACGTTTTTCTATTGAAATGTGCGTTGAATTCGGTGCATTAGTGATCCATCTTTCTGAATTCAGTGGAAAGAAGGTCGCCCGCGGACGATTTAGCACGGAAAAGAGGATTTTAGACGATGGTTCTGGGGTGGCCTCTTGGCAGTAGGTAGCGGTACATTCTTGGCCGCAGGATAAGGGTAGAAAGGTGAGTGCACTTGGGAGAAATGTTTTGTGCTGCTTGTCGCGCGTAAGTCCTGTCAGGTGTGACAGCACAGAACGTGGCGCGTCGTAACAGCTGCAACTTTTTACCCTGAGGGGTGAAACTTTTTTTATCTGGCTCGTAAGTCACGTCGAGCACAATACTGTGATCTCTTTCCTCCGCTTATTTTAATTTCGAAAACTTCCCGAAAAGTCACCTGCGTGACCAGACCGAGTTGAATCAATATTCAAGCATGCAGTTTCTTGGAATGTCTAATTATGCCAGAGTTCACTGTTCAGGGCAAATCAAAACTAGAACAATGTGTGGTTAGGTCAGTTCCCTTATGCCCAAGTATTTTAACATTTTCAACTGGCTTAGCAAGGCATTGTTTACTCATGCTGTATCTGTGTCTGTTATCTGACCATTTTTGTAAAGTGTAGTGTTTATCAATTAGGATTTGTGTCAAAACTTAACCATGTAGCCCGTCTTTTGACATCTGTAAACACCACTGTTTCTTTCTTTTCTGGTGTGGGTCTAAATATTATTTTTCCTGCACAGGATATGTATTTACTCATCCTTTAATCTTTCTATTTTATTATTTACTCACAATTCGTTGGTTAAATTGACTTGAAACAACCCTTTGAAGAGTCCAAATCAGCTGGACCTTTTCCTCTTAATTTTTTTAAATGAAAAATAATACATACCATGATGTCTAGATTATATTTTATTCAGTTTGGTTATAATTTTGTTACCTTTTTCTTAGTCCATCCTATGGTCTCAGTTAACCCTTTGCAAAAACAGAACCAACTACAACAAAAATGTTTCTAACGTGTTTTTTTTTTCTTGTTGGCAGATTTTCTGCTGCTGCTGCGAAGATTTTGAGAAATGCAATAATTGCATCTATTTCTCAAGCCATTAATCAATCAAAGGGTCACAATGGGTAAAGCAAGTGTCCCGAAGAGAGGCAGAGCGAAGGCAAGACCTCTGCGCAGTGACAGCCAATCTACTTCAGGAATGCCTACCATTGCCCTTGGTAAAAATTCGAAGAAAGGTAAACTGAAGCCAGTGGTCTCAAAGAAAGGAAAGGTGAAGTTAAAAGCTGCCAAGCGTAAACCAATAATCTCTTTGGAGGTCGGAGGCGAGCTAGATAGTGCTAGACCAGAGAAAACCTTCTCATTGGTTTCTCGGCCCAAGAGTCATTCTTTAATTTCTCGGCCTGAAAGATCTAATTTGATTTCTCGTCCTAAGAGACCTAAGAATGCTGCAACTGATAATGAGGCTAGCACATCTAAATCGCCTGATGACTCCCCTGAAGGCAGTAGTTCCAAACGTCAAAAGGCTTCCAAAGCTTCTCTTGACAGAGCAGAGTCTCCAGCCACCACTAGACTTTCTCGAAGCTCTTCATCTAGCAGTGTTGCGGGAAAAGCCCCAGATGTCAAAAAAACTGGAAAAGGGAAAGTCAAAAGTCCTGTCACTTCCCCTGCAAACAAGGGGATTATGAACTTCTTCAAGAAGGTTTCTCCTCCTTCCAAGGGACCAACAGCAAACAAAAAGACTTCTCAAAAATCTAAGAAAGAATTAGTTTCTGCCTCCTCGAAGAAAGGAAAGGCTTCTGTAGTAAATTCATCCCCAGAAAGTATTGCTTCAGACAGCAGCCAGTCAAATCAAGTTTCTAGTGAAGTTAATGATGACGATTTGAGTGTCCCTGATGATGCAGAGTCATGTGTTGAGTCTCATGCTAAAGATCTTGCCAATCAGGGCAGCAGCAGTGATTCCATTTCTAATTCAGTTAATGGCACTGGTGATGAGAAGATTGTCCCCAAACTTACAAAGAAGAATATTAGCGAACTTTTCCCGGTTGATGACTCAGCTGTAAGGCTTCGGTCTGGAAGTCCAGCTTCTCAAAAATCGACAAGATCCTTGACTATTTTGAGAAGTTCTCCCAAAGCCTTGAGTGTGTCCAGTCTTCGTTCCACTACCAGATCGGATAGTGCTGTACGACCTCTGAGAAATGGCCTTCCTACCAAATTAAAAAGATCTTCATTGTATGAAAATCTTTTGTCAGATACTTCCAAAAAAAAGAAGAAGAAAAAAAGGGTTTATGCTGGATTGGTGAACAAGGATGAAGATAAATTGGATGACAGCAGGAGTGATATATCTGATGAGCAGTCCAGTATTTTTTCAGAGAGTGACTCGTCCAGTTTCATTGATGCATTTAGTAGAATCAAGAACAGTGAAATGGACACTGAAGATGTTGCTGGGTCCTTGAGCAATGATGATGAAGATATGATTGAAAGAGTTGGCTCTCCCTTTATAAAATCTGATGGGACCAAAGGAAAGAGCATATCTGATGAAAGTGTTGATGGGAAAGATTCATATCTGAAGAAAAAAGAAATTTTAAACCATATTCAGTCTGATTGGGATTCAGATGGTGAAAATCGAGAAGATGGAGGTGAAACCTGTGACCCACCATCACCCTGTGGTGAATCTTCTACCAACTCAACATTTCCCCAGATGAATGATGAAAAATCTACCAAAGATGCACCTTCAGAGAAAACTGACTTATGTCAATCAAATGATAAAGAGGTGCAACTTGTGGACAGTTCTGAGAAGAAAGAAGAAACTGAGTCCAATCCTCCAAATATTCCTAGTGAACTTGATGAAAATAGCAAAACCGATTCTCTCACATCTTCACAGAAGCCTTTGACTGATGCAGAAGACCAGCCTCAAGATCCTTCTAATCCTGAAAGCACATTGCCTGAACCAATAGTTCTGAAAACGAGTGAAAATAAGAATGTGTTTGATGAAACAGTTGAATTTGTTTCAAAGAAGAACACGCGCATAGACTTTGGACTTCTGAGAAGATGCACTAAGCGCTCAATGAGCTTTAACACTGACGTTCCTGAGAAAAGCCAAAGCCAACGAATATTGTCAGTGGAACCCAGCAAGTTGCATGGTATACCAACACTTCTTTGGACTGTCAAAGCAGTCAGAGAACCAATCATCCCGAAGACTCCCAAAAGTCCTGAGAAGGCTCTTAATAAAATCGACTCTCAAGAGAATAGAAATGTCTCTGCTGTAAAACCAATGATGGAATCAACACAGAATGACCAAGTTTCTACTACTCCTAAAGTTGCATCTGAAGCTGTCCTTGCATCATTTCCTGTGAACAGCAGCTCAATCAAGGAAAACATATTGGTTCCAACCTCACCAAAGCAAAGCCCAGGGAAGTCCCCTGTTCGAGACTCTGCTGGATCTGGACCTAAACCTGTGACAATTTCCAGTAAAGCGGCATCAGAAGTCAAAAGTGATGGCCCAGTGAATGGAAGCTTAGGCAAGGAGAAGTCTCTGATCACTTCCCCTAAGCAACCCCAGCAGAGTACTTTGGATAGTACTCTTGCTGTAACAGTGAAACAACCTCTGTTTGATGAGCATTCTTCGATGACTTCAAAAACAGCCTCTGTTGCATCTGGTGACGCCTTAAGCGGTTCCCTTTCCTCAGCAACGGCAGTGCAGCCAGCTGATAAGGAATCAAGTGTGAGTAATGATCCCGCTGGTTTGCCCATCATGGAAGAGAATGGCCTGACTGGAGAAACTGCAACTGAGAGATGTAGCACTCCAGTTAACAACTCTCCAGCACTCCAGGGAGACCTAGAACTGACTCCAGAGAGATCCTTTATTGACGATGGAGAGTCATTCTGTTTGAGGCTTTCTCCATCCCCTACAAAAGATGACCGCCAACTTAATATGTCTGCCTCCTCCGTCTCATCTACGAGAGAAACTTCATCACCACTTAGACCTGCCACTGACCAACAGGATTCAAAGCTTTCGTCTGAAGAGGAGGAAAAGCATGAAAGTATGGACATTGATGAGGATTTGGAAACAAGACTGCGAGAAGAAAATAAGCAAACAACTGATGGAAAGGACAAAACCAAGGTGGATGGTGTGAGTGAACAAAGCAGTGTTGTTTGTTCAAGTAAACAAGATGATGAGGATAGTGTGAGTAAACAAATAATTGAGGATGAAGTATCTAAACAAATCAATGAAGATACTCATTGCAAGCAAATCAATGATGGTAATATGAGTAATAATGTTAATGAAGACAGTCTGAGTAAACAAGATGGTGAAGTTGGCTTGAGTAAACAAGTTGGTGAAGATGGTTTGAGCAAGCAAGCTGGTGTAAATGGTTTGAGGAAACAAATCAGTGAGGATAGCGTAAGTAAACCTGAAACACAAAGCCTTCAGTTGGTTATCAAGAAAAAGGGACCAGGCAGACCTAGAAGTCATTCTGCTGACTCATCATTGGCTTTTGTCAATGAGATGTGGGTTGTGAAAAATGATATTCGTCCTTCATCACCTGCTAAGGAGAAGGACGGCTGCAAGTTAGATGGAAAAGAAAATATTCCTGAAGATGGCCAAGATGGAATGAAAGACATTGAGATGGAGTCCATCTCAGATACAGAAAAACTCAAAGAGGCCAATGTGATAAATGATAGCTCATCAAGCATGACTGTGGAATGTCCGAATGTTCAAGTGAAGCAACCAGGTCTCCTGTCACCAAGATTGGAAGCTGATGTTGAAAGACTCAACTTGGAACTAAAAGACATTGAAAAGAAGCGCAGAGAAATAACTGAAGAAGAACAAAGCCCAGAAAAGAGAGCAATAAAGGAATGGATTCTGAGTTCCTTGGGGCTGCAATCTGTTTCTGCTGCTGCTGCAGCTGCATCAAACCGGCAGAGCAAGAGGAGAAGCCAGGATGGCTTGGCTCCATCTTCTGGGCGCCTAAAAGCTGTGATAAAAGTTCCCAAAGATTCCAAACGGGATAAGAAAAACAAGCCATTGCGCATGGTGTTCAAAAATGGCAAGCCAAATCCAGGAGGTTTGGAGGAGTTCTCAATTGCTGGAAGATATCCAGAATATGATGCCAGTTTGGAGGTAAAAAAATTGCATGTATTTTAAAATTTGAGATTTGCTGCGTATTTTTTTTGTCTTGTACTGCAAGTTCTGCAAACTACTAATATTTTGCTAGGTTTCTTATTATTCATGACTTTTTCTTCTTTTCACAGTACTCCACTTTGTCGGATGTTACATCAAATGCAGCTTTGCTGAATGGGCCGGAGTGTAAGTCCTCAATACTCATGGGCAATTTCTTTTTCCATTTCTTTTTGTGTGTGTGTGTTTTGATGAAGTTTATTTTATTTTATTTTGTTGCTGTTTCAGTTGGTGCTGTGGGGGAAGTATCTGCCCCAGTGGAGGCTGATGGGAAGGCGTAAGTTGACTAATTAAATTCCTTAGTTGATTTGATTTAAATAAATGAACTGGACTAATCTTTAATTTTTTTTATATATATTTTTTTTAGTAAAACTGGTGCCAATTTAGTTATCCCTGAGAAAAGTTCCTCATTTTCCATTCATCCTGGGCGGTTGTGTTCAGATGTGTGCAGTTACTGTTTTGGAAAATTTGGTTCTTTGGATACACCATGTCATGTTGCTCAGTTAAAGAGCAGGGAAAGACAGATGAAGATTATGTCAGGTATTCTTTTATTTTATTTTGCTTCTGTTACTCAGACTGGTTTTCACCCTTGTACTTTGTCATGAAAACAACTTTTCTTTTTTCTCCTTCTCTCAGTTGAAACCCATTTAGCTCTTGATTCATGCTTATGCGATGCTTGCATACGGTATGTTGATCGCAAAGCCAACTGCCCATCATCATCCAAGCCACAGACTTCTCACAGGAAGGATAGTAAGAGCAAGTTTGAAGGCTCCATGGCCACATGTAGTGTGACAGGATGTGTTCAGCCAGCAAGGCACTCATTGCGAAAGAAGTGGTACATTAAAATTAGGAAGAGTGTTATGAAAAAGGTAAATGCATTTCTGAATTGATTTTAAGTGCCAAACACATTCCTAATACAATTGTCGCTTTAAATTTACCTTTTCCTTTCAGTGTCCAATTGATTTGGAGCTTGCTCATCAACACTTACCATTACCACTCTGTCCGGAGCATTTCAGCTACCTGGAATATTTTATGTCTTGTGGATTGTGCAAAAGGCGCTTGTCAAAGAGCCACATGTATAATCTGACCAACACTAGTGAGATAAATATTTGTTTGGAACATGATGGTAAGAGCAGTCATCTTATTAAGTTTTATTGTTACTGTCTATTTTAGAGATGAATGCTTAGTTTGACATTTTTGTACTGTTCTGTTTATAGGAATCCCTGCTAGATTATCAGACAAATTATTTGTTTGTAAGCTATGCCGTTACTATGCAACACTTCGTGTAAAGCATACAGGTTCTAGCCTCTCACCTAATCAGAGAGAGTTCTTTACAAGTTATAGAAAAAGGTGAGTTATCAACCTACATCTGTTCAATTGCTCCAACGTTCATCTACTGAATATTTAAGAATCAATGTTGCTAATTGGCCCTAATTTGTTTCATTTTAGAATTCTGCTTTGCCATGATATTGATGTATCAGAGGGTGAGGATGATGGCACTGCTGACCCGGAAATTCCCAATGAAGAACAAGAGGAGACCCCTTCAGGCTCTGGAGCGACCTCATCAAATTCTGCAAGCACTGAAGACAGTCTCCCAAAAGGAAAACGGAAGCGCTCTGGATCCAATGCAACATTATCTGGTGAAGTAGACGCAGCAGACCAGCCAAAGAAAAAGTCAAGAAGTAGTGATGTGTCAAGCAAGTCCAAGGAAAAGACCGAGGCAGTGGTGAAGAGTACCTCAAGGATTTCACATGAGATTTACCCCTCACTCACTATTTCTGTTGAACCAGTATCCAAACCGAGCGGCAGCAAGAGTCAAAAGAGTGGCAAGCCAGCTAAATCGAAGCAGGATTCAGACTCCCCCGCAATGGAATTTGTCCGCAAGGGACTGCCCCCTTTTTACCCTGGCGAAGACGAACTGGCCCTTCATGGCAAGTTCCAGTTCCAGTTCGATGACGAGCCCTCGGCCAATCGGGCCTGGGAGAAATGCACATCCACCCTGCAGTTCGACAAGGACACAAAGAAATTGTGGCAGGAGCTGCAGAGGCCCTATGGCAGCCAGTCAAGCTTCCTGCGACACTTGGTGCTGATGGAGAGGTACTGGCGGCAGGGCGAGCTTGTCCTCGCGCCCCAGGCCACCGCCAAGGCCACCTCGTACACCCGCAGCGTGCAGAACAGGCTGAACGCGTACGGCTCGACCATCACCGTCCCGGCTGCGGCTGCTGCGGCTGCTGCGGCCGAGGCCGTCCCCGCCGTGGCGAAGCCCGCCCAGGCCGTGACGTCATCCCAGTCTTCCACGCCGAGGCCTCCGACGCTGCCAGGGCCTCCGACGCCGTCCCAAGCGCCACCCAAGGCGCCGACGCCAGCGCCCCTGCCGACTGCAAAGCCTCAGGCGCCCGTGGAGGCCGTCAAGGTGCTGCCGGTGCGAGGCAAGCAGGACAAGGCCCTGGCCCTGACGGGCGGCACCGTGCTCACCGCTGCCGACGCCGCAGCAGCCGTCACCGCCGTGCACTTGATCTCCTCGCCAGTGTCGCTGCCCTCGCCATCGGGAGAGGCTGGACAGGGGCAGGCGAGGCCCAGCGGGGGCCAAGGCACGCCGTTTGCTCCGCTCAAGATTCGCGTTCCTCCCCCCAAGACCAAGAAGAAGCAGTCGAAGGGGGTTGTGGCTAAAATGCCGACTCAGCCAAGTGCCAAACCCCAGCCCAAGCCGCAATCCACATCTCAGTCCACGGCGCAGTCCGCTCCTCAGGCCAAGCCTCAGGCCAAGCCTCAGGCCAAGCCTGAGCTCCCATCTCAGTCCATGCCACAGTCTACGCCTCAACCCACAATTCAAGTGAAGCCAATGGCAACATTGCAGGCGACTCCATCTGGGCTCCAAGTTTCAACAGTGGCTCCGCAAGCTGTCAAAACGCCACCAGGCATCCGCTTGACTGTTAAGACCCCTACATCTGTCCAAGACAGTGCCCATGGTTCAAAGCCACAAGTTTCTGTATCATCAGGGCATTCTGTCATTTCAATTCCACCGGTGTCTGTGTCTTCAGGTGTGACGATTACCGCAGAGCCAGCTTTGAAGTCTCCACCGGAGAAACAGCCGTCAGTTCTTGGAAAATTGCAACCCATTCTCCCAAAACCCTCTTCTGGAGGAGTTTTGAAGTCATCCAGTCCTACTAGCACTTACCAAGTGGGAATTCGTCCGAATAATGGCAACTCCTGGGATTCTGCTGTGTCAACATGCCGACCGCAGTTCATATCCCTTTCATCAGCCCCTGTTGTGAATCTAACCCGTTCCATCAGTCTCACTGCGGTTCCTTCATCACCTCCGTCTGTTCCGGATCTGCACCCCATCAACTCTCAAAATATGCGTCCGAACAGATCACCCTCTGCTGCATTACCTAGTAGCACATCAGTGACCACTTCTCGTGCTTCATCTGGTTCCTATGTTAGTATCATACCTACATCTCCCAGCAAATCTGTGTACTCTAAACCAGGACCTCAATCCTTGAACATGCCAGCATCAATTACGCCAATATATACCTCGCAGTCTGTTCCCTCACCAGTAAGTGTTACGTCATCTGTGTCTTCAAATCTGCCTGCCCCATCGCCTCCTGTTGCCAATAGTGATTCAAAATCAGCTACTCAGCAACAAGGCAAGGTTCATGTCACTGCTGGTGGAAAATCCTTCTCCCTTACGATTCAGCAATTCAAGAAATTACAAGCATTGCGACAACAACGCCAACTTGAACAAAAGAAATCACAGTCTGTGAAAAGACTGAAAGAAAAAAGGCAAACTTCAACTGCAACGTCTTCAGTGGCACCACGTAACCAGAAGGATGACCTAGAGGTTGTGGAAGTTCATGATGTGCAACAGTCGTCTCTTCCCACCATCAGTGCTGTTTGCTCTGGAGACCAAGCAAAAGCCATGTGGAATGATGAATCCCGAAATTCTGAAAGTGACTCTAGTGTGAGCATTACAGTTGAGCCAGTAGATATCCTGAGCAAGTCAGAAATACCTGTGGAAAACTTGCCGAAACTTCCCAAGGCACTGACTGTTACACAGATCCGGAAGGAAAGCCCTCCATTGCCCAAAGCTGTCTCGGCATCAGGAGTGTCTGTAACCATCACTAGGAAGAACTGTCAGAGCCCAATGACACCTCAAATGTCAAGTCCAGCACTTGATATTTTTCCTAGCTAGTTTGGTGTTGCACCCTTGTGAATAGCTGTCAATTTAGACTATGAATACATATCTTTTCCCTTGAGACAAGACTGGCAAGTCGATCAATTTTGATGTAGGGAGCAAGATCTGATTTAAGAGTGTATATAATTAATTACTGTGAAAAGTAACTTTTGTAAACTAGGCGGACTTCTTGCACGATTGTATGTACATATTACAGGGTGAGCTTAGTGTAGAAACTAGTATCCAGCTTTGTATAAATCTTCCCATGGCTGCTAAGTCTGAATGCATTTTATCCAGGTGAATGAATTTGTAACTTGTATATTTATAAATATATATGCAACATTAGTTTGTTGTCTTAGACCCCTTGTTGGCACAATGATTGTTTCTTTAGTTAAGGATACAAACAATTATTACTGTATGGGCCAACTCAGATTTGAAAAAGAAAGTGCTGCTAAAGTACGTTGGGAATCAAAAGTATTTTTTTGGAAAGGTAAGGTCTGATTTTGGAAGCAATTCAAGTGAAGTGCTTTGGAGCATAAGGGTTGCTCATGTTGCTGTGATATTGATGTGCAGGAATGAAAATAACTCTAAATTTTGCTGATTGGAAAAATTGATTTCTCATTTGGCATGAGAAGGTAAGCTAATTACGCTCATGTCATGATCAGTGCTTTCCTCGGGTTAATCATTTGTTCAGGAAACTTGCTAAGTGTTAGGACCAACTTGTTTTCACAGCAGCTTACTAAAATTATACCTGTTGTAGATCATATAGTAGTTTTATTTTTGACGCACCAAGAGATAAACTTAGGTTGCTGCAAACTTATTTTTCAACAGCAAGCTCTATTTTATACTGTGTGATTTCTTCAAGGGAAAGCAGAACTCCTTTTATTTTAGAGAACTAGTCAAGCTAACAGCTGCTATACTAATTGCCCTTATGTTTTGTTTTGTTTAAATTGAGCTGCTTTGCTCTCTTTGCCTCAGAAAAAGATACAGTACTTGTACAACTTAAATTCTCTCAATGAGAGCAGTCATTTCTTAAACTGTGATCATAGCTTGAGTAGGTTCATTTAAAAAATATTGTTTGCTATTTCATTTTCAGAGCCATGATAGCATATCTACTGAAGCTCTGTTTGTATTTTAGTTTTGACTGCCACAATCACTATGCTTCTTGACTGTTTTTGTCATTCTTGTATTTGTGTAGAGTGACTTTTATAATTCAGAATTTTGTTTTGCATTAATGTGTGTGAGTGTTTGTGTGTGAGTGTGTGTGTGCAAAGGTTGGTTGCAAATGTGGGTTTGCAGCAAACTATCTGAAGTGAGTGTTCCATTTATTCTTAGTCGTTTTGAATTAGGTACAGAATGAAAAATCTGTTCGATAAAGCTCTGAATTTGAGGTGTATACTATCTTATTGATTCTTACCAGTAGACTTTCGGCTTGAAATTTTTGAAAGCTAAAATTGTTACGCTTAGTTTAGTTGTGATGAAAAGTTTGTGCAGTCTGATGGGATAGGGTAATCATGTTGATTAATGAGCTATTTTTGTATCTATTTTGTGGAGAATTTCACTTAAAGGCTACATAATTGGCTTTCTGTGAGAAGTATTTTTCATTTGCTTCTGAGTTGGCCTGACACAAATAATGCCTGATTTAATTAATTTATTTTTTTAAGGATAAATTATTATAAGAATAAGATTCATAGTGAAATCATCGTATCACCAAGAGCCTTCTCCTTTGTTACATTTATTCTCATTCTCTTAATGTCTCATCAAGCTAAGTTGGGAAAATATTATAATATTCTGTATATGTTACCTTACCTTGTACATATATATAATGAGTGATTGTATTGTAATTATTTATTTGCTGTATTGCCTATTCTTTTATTATCACATAGATCATTGGTCTGGATTAGTTAGGGGTTAACACTTTATCCTAATCTGAGTTTTTATTTAAGCAAGTTATCTTATGAAGTTGTGAACAACTATACCTGCTTCATTTTCTTTGTCACTCACAGGCAAATCTATCTCAATCAACCTTTTATTTAAACACACTCTTATTTGTATTTTGACAGTACAGTGTCATATTGTTAGTTCTGTTACATTTTACTTGTGTTTCTTCATATTTTTTTGTGATCATTTTGAAGACATGTTCTTTTTTTTTAAATTATAATTATTATAATTAAATGAGTGTTGATGTAGCGCTCACAAATGTTGATAAGCGAGTCTCCGTCCTGCACTGCATCTCAGAGGACAGTAGCAGGTGTGCTCGTGTTCCCAGTGACCATTGACTAACCGCCTGTATCTCTCTTGTAGGTCAGAAATTATTTTCGTCCCAAGACTCTGACCGCATCTGTTGCGTGATTATCTTAAACATTATTTTGTCTTGGTTGGATTTTGGGAAGTTAATAAATAGAAAGAAAACTGCTTTCAGTAATGTTAATCATGCCTCGTTTTTATGTCCCATTTTCCCTAACACAGTGCAAGAACAATGGAATATAACGACTTTTATTTTTATTTCTCACAATAATACCTAATGCTACAACTCTTTTCACATATGTACATTTTGGGTTGGAGCTGGTCACCGACTAGTCTGAAAAATCAGTAACTACACCCACTTGCACCACCGGAGAAAATATCTTAATTTCAATCACATTAAATAAAGTAGGGTGTGCAACCGCTAGTCAACGCAGGCAACGAAGCACGTTACGTAGGGAAGTTTATGAAGTTTATGGCATCGGCTGTTGGACGTCTCATAGGCTTCCTGGACAGGCCATTCCTGCTGTACTACGTGGACAGGGGCACGGGCACGGCGTCCTTGGCGGCGTCCCGGTGCTGCTGCAGCATCGAGGCCGGCACTGCCGCCGCCTCCTCGCGGCCCTCTCCGTCCTTGGCGCCGTCCTCTTCCTCGGCGCCCGCCCTGGTCGACGCGGACCCGGACGTGCTGAGCATGTGCATGATGTCGTTCTCCAGCTCGCCCAGAGACTCGGTGGTGGACGACGCAGCGCTGCCGGGGCGTCCGTCGGCCACCGCCACGTCCAGCAGGTCCGCCCTCTTGGCCGAGGCCGTGCCGGGCGAGGCCGGCGACGAGGTCAAGGGCCTCGTCTCCGCGTCGCGCGTGTCCGACGTGTCCAACCCCTCGGTGACGGTCGGCGCGGCGGGCGAGGCTGCGCGTGCGATGGGTTGGTCAGCTGCTTCCGGTGCGTCGAGTGCCTTCTGTCCCGGAAGCGCTTTGGAGCCATCAGCTTCCGCTGCGTCCGCCTGCGCCGTGACAGCTTCCTGCGCAGCGGGCGGCTCGGCCGGGCCGCTCGACGAGTAGCTCTCTCTGATGAACTCGGACATGGCCCTGGTGGAGGCCGTCGAGGCCGTGCCGGCACTGAGGGGCCTCCACTGGCGCGGGGACAGCAGCGCCGCGGAGGTGGTTAGCGGGGGGCTCCAGGGCCGCGTCGAGCCGCGTTCGTCCCAGCTCTGCAGCGTGAAGGCGGCTACGCCGACCACGCCCTGGAACACAAGCAGCCCCTTGTTGAGCTTGAACACGGCACGAGGCTGCGCACTGCGGAGGCGCGGCACGGCCAGGACGCACCTCCCTGTCGAGGTCCAGGTCGAGGCTGCGCGGGCCGTCCAGGGCCTCGCTGGACTGCGCCAGGTGCTGCGACGCGGAGGTGGAGGCGGGGCGGGGCAGCGACCGCGCCCTCACCTCCACGGCGTCGAGGCTGTCCATGCTGCGCCACGCGCCCCCGGCCCGTCGCACGCCCACCCGCGCGTCCGCCTGTCGGAAACACCCACTGTTTAAATTCAAGTTCAGGACATTTCGGAAAAAGGAATTGAAAATGAAAGATCACCTTCGCCATGCGCTGCAGCAGCTCCATGGTGTTGGCTGGGCTGAGGATAGAGTCGTTGAGGGTCCCCTCGGCGCCATCGTCACCGTCCCGCGGCCTGGAGCCGGCCCTGGTGCGCGAGGGGGGCTGCGGGGGCGGGCCGTGGGGGTGGCCGTGGGCCGAGCGCGCGCGCCGCTTCTTCCTCGGGGGCGGCACGGGGGCGGGGGACGCGGGCGGCGTGGCCAGCGACGGCAGGGCGGGCCGGCTGGGCCGGACCGTCAACTCGCCGCCGTCGGACCCGTCGGACCTGGCAAACAGCGCACAAACACACACAAACAAAATAATGAGATGGAGACGGGAGCAACACAAACCCCCCGGCCCGGCGAGACTGGCTTCGTTTCTTTTTGGGGTCTGCCCTGCCCGGTCTGCCGCCGCCGCCCCCGACTCGGTCAGGTTACCCGAGACGAGAGCCGCGCTCGTCCACGCCGGCGGAAGGCTGAAATGCCGAAGTGTAACCGCGACGAGCGGCCGCCTTCGCTTCGGTTTGCTGGAAGGCTGACCCAAGAGATACTCCAGAGAAAAAGAGCGCCTGCCGGGTAGGCCGCGCGAGCCGACGGGAGCGCGTTGGGATGCCTACCCTCCGGGCGGCCTGGCGATCAGCGCAGCGCGTCTGCCGGGCTGGAGCAGGGTGGGTCTACTGCCACACTGATATAGTAATGTACTGCTACACTGTTAGTACTGTACTGCCATACTGTTAGTACTGTACTGCTACACTGTTAGTACCAAACTCGACCGTACTGCTCCTACACTGCTACTCACGTGAAGGCCTTGTTGTGCACGCCGTTGGCGGAGAAAGGCTTGTCCGGCTTGTCCGGGACCACCAGGTGTTGCCGTATGAACGGCTCGCGGTGAAACTGGAAGAACAGAGAGCGGGAAATGAAAGCGGGCACTCATTTTCATTTTTCGGACGAGGAACCGAGGAAGCCGCCGCTGTCCGCTGTGGCGTCGTAGGCGAGCGATCGCACTACCACAGTGTGGCACAGTGCGACGTGTAACTTGATCTCGTCCGAGTCTGGTGTCGTGCTGCTGTATGAAGAATACTTAAGAAGTTTGCGGGGGGAGAGGGGGGGGGGTAATGTCGCCAACCGAGTTGCCGTCGCGAGCAGAAGAAACAAGATATAACGCGGACTTATCCCGTCCGAGAGTCGCTTTCGTCGCGCTGTCTCTCTCACACTCATGGCGCATCCCGCACAGGTGCGAGAGAGACAGAGCGACGAAAACGACCCTCGGAATCTGTCTGCAGAGACGAATAAATAAGTTGGCGGCCCTCTGGGCCGGCCGACACGCCCCCAGCGAGGGCGAGGGCGCGCGGTGGTCTGTGCAACGGCCTGCAGCGCCTGCAGGACGAGACGGACGCCACGCCATCATCGGGGCTCGCGAAAAAACAAGCCTCGCGACGCGACGGCACCGAGTCGCTGCACTGGAAGGCGAGCCACCTCGCGAACCCGCGCGGACCGCAATGACGCCGCGGTATTTTCGTTTCTCGTTTCTTGTATCGCTTACGGGCGGCAGATGGATTGCAGTGTGACGTTGCGCCCCTCCTCGCCTCGCCGCGGCGACATCGACATCCTGCTCGCGCGGCGCACAGTGGGCCAGAAGACCGGCGGAGGCGGTCGCGAAATGGGACTCGAACTGAACGTGTGACTCCACACCAATGAACCCATTGGTGGGGTCACACGTTCGGTTCGAGTCCAATAGCGGCTCTGGAGCTCAAAACGCGTCTAGAGTTTTGACCGCCTCCGCCGGTCTTCTGGCCCACTGTGCGCCGCCATGGCGGCGCCGCGCCGCGCGGCCATCAGCAGCCAGCCTCCCACTACTCGTAGTTCCCGACCACGGCGACGGGCCGCGCACCGCGAAGTCAGTCCTCGGGTTCAATTGCTTTGTTTCTTGCCGAACACCAATTATCCTGCTATGAGGAAGTCCGAAAAAGAAAGACAACACGAGCGGGAGAGTCTGCGGCGGGTGTCGTGGGGCCGCCGGCCTGGCTTGCATTGGCTTGCCGTCGGCCGTGGGAAGGAGCGCCTGGGGGAGGGGGGGGGGTTGCGTCACAGGTAGGACGGCCGAACGCTGCGCGACGCTACGCGGGTGGACAAGGTCACTAGGCCGCCCGACAATTCCACGCCAATCGCCAGTCCCGGGCCCCGGGGCCAATATTTGCGCTTCCTTTCCTTTTCACGCTCTGTCGGCACTGTCGGCCCGGCCCGATTCGATCTTGCTTCCGAATTAATCAGCGCTTCTGGCTTATCTGGCGCCTCTGACCACCGAGATTCCGAGAGTCTTTTTCGTCGCCCTGTCTCTCTCGCACTCAGAGGCGCCTCGGTTGAGTGCGATAGACAGAGCGACGAAAACGACTCTCGGAATCGGTCTGCTGTACACTGTGTAAGAGCTGCTCTCGACCTACACACACGCGGTACCACGCGGTCGCCCCTTTCAACCCCAGTGAAAGCGCGCGCGACACCGGGGAACGGGCGGGACACTGTCGGGCCCGGGCCGGGCCGGGCCGATCCGACCCCGTCTGGTGGCACGGCACGGCACTGCGCGGCACGGCACGGCATGGCACGGCGCGCGAGGAGCGGAGCGTGGTAATGATGACTTTGTCGAAGCGGCGACAGCAATTGCGTTTGGAGGAAAGTCGCTGTTTGCACAGCGGGAATACAACACCCCGCCCCGCCCCGCCCCGCCCACGCCGCGTCTATCTCCGTCTATCGCCGGCTGGCTGGATTCTATTTTCTGTTCCAGCGCAGCGAACCGGGCGGAGAGCGAGGCGAGCCGCGCCGCGTGCTTTCAGCCAGCCCTACCCGTCGTTCGTACCACTGGCGCACTGTAGTGAGCCGGGCCGAGGCCCTGGAGGCCCTGGCCGACGTCACCGCGTCACCGCATACCTCGGCGGCTCTCTACCTGGAGGGCCTGGAGGGCCTGGTGGCGGCGCGACTAGACTCGTCCGGCCCCTCCCTTCACCACTCCGTTCATTGAGGCGAGGAAAGCAGCGACCGATACTACCCGGCCGCCCTGCCAGCGGCGTGGGGAAGTGCTTCTGGCTCTCGAGGGCCGGGTGGCCGGGACACCGCCGTGACACAGTGCCGTGACGCATAGAGACACACGCCGCGACACTGCCACGGGGACCAACAATTAGAGCAGCGCGGCCAAGGATGGCCTAGACCACCAGGTCCACCAGGCCGGCGTGCCGGCAGGCCGTCACCGGAATGTTAATTGCTTCGAGTGCGCAATCGGGGTGCGGGGTTTGTGGTGCGGGGTGAGAGGCGCGGGGCGCGGATGGCCGGCCCACGGCCCCCAGGTTCGAATCCTGCCGCAGCCTGCGTTTCTACGAGCGCGCCACGCAGCCCTGCAGCACGGCCTTTATCAGGCACTCGGAGACGTGGAAAGGGATACGGGATGCACGCGGCAGGCCCGGCAGGGCAGGCCGGGGCCAGTACACCGATTCCGAGAGTCGTTTTCGTCGTTCTGTCTCTCTCGCTCCCATATGGGACGCCCCATAAGTGCGAGAGAGACAGAGCGACGGAAACGACTCTCGGCATCAGTCTGCAGGTAGGGCCAGGGCCTCGGCCAGGGCAGCGCTCCGCAGGCGCCGTCTCCGAGACCATCACCCCGCGCGCCCTGCGCGGCGGCGCCACACTCTGAGGCGCCAGTGGGGGGCGGTGGGGGGTGTACCTGGGTGTAGCAGGGGCCGTCGTTAAACCGGGAGGAGCCACTGCCGGCGTGGCTGCGCGGCGTGGCGCCGTACACCGGGATTTATGACTGGGTCATTCCATTGCTGCCGTCGCCCACTCACTCAGGTGCGGGGCGGAGCCCCAGCACGCACGCACGCACGCACACACACGCACGGACACACTCACTCACACACACACACACACACACACGCCATCGTCGGCTGGAGTTCCCTCACGGCGTCCGCAGGTTGCACTCTGTCTCCGCATTTCTTGCTCTGGAGTTCCCTTTTCGTTTTCTGCTCAACTCGGCGCAGTCAGAGCTCGCCGTGCTTTTGTGGCGGTCGTCACTGGTTCGGCCGGGAGGGACGCGTTGAAAAATGGACTTTTCAGCCGAGTGACGCGTGGCGGGGCGGGGCGGGGCGGGGCGGGGCCGCGAGTAAATCCAGCGGGCGGCGGCAGAGAGACAGAAGACACGGCAAGGCAAGGCAAGAAGACGACCGCCACATTATCGAGCTATTGTGTGGCTGCATGCTGGTTCCGAACGGCAACGCGCTCTCGCAAGCGCCTCTCTCACACTCACGGGGACTCCCGTGCGGACGCGAGTGAGACGGAGCGACGAAATCGCTGTTCGGAATGGGCGTGCTGTTGGTACACTGGGATCGACCGCGAGCGGCGCCGCGACGCCCGCGCCTCGCTGACCCCCTGACCCGCGGCCTTGTGCGGGCTCACGAAGGCGCTGCCCCCCCCCCCCCCCCCCCCCCGCCCCGCGCGGCATCAACAGGTGGATTTGCGGACCTTATCAACCGGCGGCTTGCGAGGTTGGCGGCAATGGCGTTGCAGGCGTTGCCGTTGCCGCGGTAAACACAGCGACTGCTTATCACCAGCATGTCGCCGGCAACGCGCGGCCGCCGCCGAGCCTCGCCGGGCCTCGCCGGGCCAGCGGAAGCAGGCCAAGAAGTCCAAGAAGACCGGGCCTACCTTAATTAAAAACTTTTCCCCAGTCGCCCTCCCCCTTCCACCCCGTAGCAATTTCTCATACTCACGTGAAACTTGTCGCCGGGCCTGAGGCTGGCGATGCTGTGATCCGGCGCCGTGGTGCCCCAGGCCGGGCCCCACGCGGGGCGGGGCGGCGGCCCGGGGGCGCGGGGGCCTCCGTAGCCATGGACGGGGAGGATGTGCGCTCGGCAGCAGCCGGCCCCCATCGCAGCCTCAGCGCCGGGTGGTGGCGGCGGCGGGTCCGAGGCCGGCAAGCATGGGCAGTGGGCAGCCCTCGCCGATCCACCCCGGGATCACTTTCGCCGCGACGAGGACATCGCGGCGCTGTGGCGCTGCAACGCACCTCACCCACACACACACTCTCTCACTCACCCACACATTCAGTCACTCACTCCCTCCCCCTCTGTCTCTCGCTCGTTCGACGTGCACGTCGCCGCCGGCCG